GAAAGGTTGCCCCCAGGATGGATTGCCTGGATGGATGATGAAAATAATGTGTTTGGAAGCTTGGGTGGATGATACATGATGGTGGACAACCAGAGAGATTGGTTCGTTAGTCATCCTCTTATGGAGGCAACCGACCTTCCTTGCTACCTAAGGAAGGTGATATGGTCTGACGGTCTGACCTTTGTCCAATCGGGCTTAAATTACACAGAGTTGTGCAAGACCTCTAATTAAAGTAATGCTTTGGCCCTATCAAGCAAAATCATTGACCCATGCAGAAAAATTAAAAAGAAATCAACCCAAGCATGGGAGGCGTGAGCTGAATAATACTAGCAGACCATTGCTACCTTTTCCAACATAAGTAAGGATTGGATGAGAGATTATCTTGGATGATCTCGAAGGAAGAACACATGGCAGTGCTCTGAGAGTAAATCCAATTTGGTCTTGCCATCGTCATCAAACTCTTCGTAAAGGGTGATTTGGTGGATCCCAAGTGGATTGAGATGGATCAATTTGTCTCTTTATTCATCGATTATGGTGCTGAAGATGACAAGGCATATAATCTTAGAGAAGATGAAGATGGTAGCAATGACGAACCCGTTGCCACTTAGGACTTTGCATGCCTTGTGTTTTTTTTTTTTTTTGCTTTTTGAAAAATTTTAGCATTGCCTGGCCTTGTTGGATCAACGGGCACTCATGTACTCAAAATTATTCTATATATATATATATATATATATATAATAAATAAATAGGATATAGTGAATCGTTGCGTCTTCTTTATTCTTTTCTGCTTTCATGGGTTATGCTTCTTTGATTGAAGGATCTTGTATGCATGTGAATGGATGATTTGGTCGAGCTGCAAACTTAGCTCCATGGCAGATTTTGCTCTCAGTCTGATAGTCTTATCCTTTGACTGTGATTTGCATAAGGCTAGGTAGGGTGATCTTGATGCCATAGCTGGCAGCCTTTAAGTTTTGGATGAGGCTTGTCGATTTTGGTTTTGAGGTCTACTTGTCTTCTATTTATGCTCAGTCCAGAGATTTTAGCACCATAGCTTAAAGTCTTCATTTTTTGAGATAGATCGGGTGATCTTGGCATCACAGTCTGTCGGTCTTTGATTTTTGCTCAGTCGGGCGATTTAGGCATCACAACTGGTTGTCTTCAACCTATGGACGAGGCTGGGAAATCTTGGCATTGTGGCCTACCAATCTTCCATTTTTGCTTAGTCGGGTGGTCTTAGCGCCACAGCTGGCAGTCTCTAACTTATAGATAAGATCGGTGATCATGGCATTGTCGCCTTCCAGTCTTCAACTTTTGCTCAGTATGACAATCTTGGTGCCTCAACTGACGGTCTTCAACTTATGGGCTAGGATGAGTGATCTTGGCATTGAGATCTGCCTATCTTTAATTTTTGCTTAGTCGAGCAATCTTAGCTTCACGACTGACAGTATTCAACTTATAGGGGAGGTCAAGCGATCTTGGCATCTAGGCCTACCAATCTTTGATTTTTTCTCGGTTGGGCCATCTTGGGGTCGTGCCCTATTGACATTCTTTGTCTCGGGCTCCTGGTGTAAGTTGTGTTGACCCTCTGGTTTTTTCCAATTCCCTAAGAATTTTTCTGACATAAAAGTTTCAGGCCTTCATTTAGTGAGGTGTTCTATTTTTATACGTATTTTTGGCAGAATACTAGAGAATCTCAAATTGCAAAACAAAGTGAGGAAATTCTTATCATTTAAAACTACTTGTATAGAATACATAATGAAATTTATGGAAAAAATCTCTTGAGGTCATCTCCACTCTAAGTCCAGGGGACTTCATTCCCTGAATGGGTCTTCAGCTTGTATGCTCCGGGGCCTGCCTGACAGTCGATGATGTAGGTCTCAACGTTTGGTCCAGCTTTCCCACTTTCTACCTTTGTGTTATGGGATCAACCTTCTTTAGTACCAGTTCTTCAAGAAAAAAGACTTTTTCATTGTACTACTGGGTGGCTCTCCTCTTGACCTCTTCTTATAGCAAGGCCAACTGTGCTTGGACTTCTTCTACACGGACTAGTGCGAGCATCGCTCCCTTGTTTTTCACTTCTTGGCTTTCTGGGAGATTTTCTTCGTCAAACGATGTAGCCACGAGGACTTTTTAGCTATGATGTTTATAATCTATTGGCAGTATGGCCTCTATTTCATGTAAGAACATAAACGATAATTGATGGGTAGCAGTTGATGGGATTGTGTGGATGAACAATAAAAAAAATGGGAGGACCTCTGCCCAGCTGCCTTTTGCACCTTTTATCTTCTTTCTCAACAAGTTGAAGATGATTTCATTGGTTGCCTCAGCCTGTCCACTAGTTCGTGGATGATGAACCAAGGCAAATTTCAGGCTTATTCCTTGTTCTTGGCAAAAATTCTAAACCTAGGCGCTAGTATCACGATGCCTAGGTGAGGGACTGGTGCCTAGGCACCCAGAGTTCTGATGCTTAGGTGCTAATCCTTAATTAAGCTCCTTTGCTCAATTACCTGTTGTATCTGTAAGAAAAACATAAAAATAATTATTCTTTAAAATGCAATCTCATCCATAAAAATGTGTAAATCATAAAGAAATATTAACATTCTTATCAACATATCACTCCTAAACTAATTCTATGACAATATTTTCTTATATTTTTTTTCCTTACAACTCTTCGACTTAAAATCTAGAACTAATATCGCTTAGAATTACTTTACAATCTTTACACTCTCGACGATCTCTTATTCTCATAAGAAAATAATTAATTTGTGTCTTATTAGATCCATTCTTGAAAGTAATAATTAGTCATCCTTTTTTCTTAAATAAAGTATTAGCAATAACAAAATCATTGTTCTACCTTCTTCATTAATCACTTCAAAATCGTAATTATCGTAAATGTTTCTAAGATTATCCACCACTCTACCAATATGTCTATTTAAATCTACTCCAATATTTTTTTTTTCTTTAGGTGGTATCATTTGTATTAATTCTTCTAAGTTATTTCAAAATTTCTCTTTTGAACCTATATCGATCCTAATTGAGAAGCATAAGCACTTATAATATTAAAATCTTAGTATTAACAACAATCTATATGGCTCTAATTTTTATCCAATTATATTAATTTTTACAATAGTATCTTTTAAACTCTCATCTATAATTACGCCTACCTCATTTCTAGTACAACTCCTGCCTGAATGCCAATTTTAAAATCTAAGTGATCAATCTCCTTAGCTTTTTCTCCAACTCTTTCTTTTAGTTTCTTGAATGCATAAGATATTTATCTTCCTATGAACCATAATATCAACTAATAACATTAATTTACCTGTGAAAGTACCTATATTCCAAGATTATATCCTAATATTAATTGCATAAACTAACTTCTTTACCCACATTCGTCTGCAATATGGAAACTCTTGTTTATTTGACAATATACCCAAACGCCGGTGTAACGGACCTTACACACTTTTCACTATATTCGGGTCATACAGTGAATCGCTTCTAGAGGATGCTCTAGCATTTATATAAGGATTTAAAAAATTCATCTTATGGTTTTTAAATAAATTTTATTTTGGTTGTCGACTACCTAATGTAACCCTCCACTTTTCGTATTTGGTGCTTTATACTGGACAATGACAGTGTTGATTTTTAGTGAGAAGATTAAAAAAAATACAACTAGAAGGTTAAATAAAATGATAACTGTGAAAATCTTGTTGATTTTATAAGATGAAGGGCCAACAAGACGCTTCAACACCAAGGCACCTTGAGGATCTTCACTTAGGTTATGCTCCCCTTAAATTGAGATTTATAAGATGTCGAATAATTTAGAAATGAAACAGAAAAAAGTAGTCTAAATAAATCTGTACCCATATAATCCTAACAAAAAGGGCAAGAAAATGGTTTCAATTTCTTTGCTTGTGCATGGATTCAACATTTTTATCCCTTATGTCAACATTTAGAATGTTGCTCCCCAAGGGCAACAAAATAGTAAACTTATTTTTATAATTAGCTAAATGCCGATAATTCGCAAAATAAATATATAACATTATGCTTTCTCAAAAGTCACATTTATAAGCATGAAATAACAATGGAAGTTGCAATCTCAAACACAAAAACATTGCTATATTAATTACAAAATGATACAAACCTTTAATATTTGACAAATTTTAATTTCAAGTAGTTTACAAATGCTCGAGTTGCTCTATTTTTCTTTTATAAGGTTTTTTGGTTGAGAACTGACAACAAGAGGTTTGATTATTTCTGCTTTATTTTTTTTCCTATATTTCAATCAAAATATTATATCCATTCTTCGTAAATTTTTCCCTTGATGTGTTACCTATACGTTTTTATTTGTTGGATATATATTTAGATGCATTTTTCCTCGTATAAAAAAGTAAAATCATTTTCTGCATTTCTACTTTTATTGGACTTGAATGAATAAAAACATGCAATCACTAAATATATTAGAAGTTATATTAGGAAATAATTTATTCCTATTAGACATTATGAGGATTAAATTTATTTCCTAATATAATTTTATTTTATTTCTTATTTTAAATTTATTTCCTTTGATTGGAATTATTTTCTTTCATATTTTAGGCTTTCCTATTTTATATTGTTTACTTTATCTCCAAAACGATTAATATAAATTGATTAATTGGCGATATTATGAGTTATATCATTCATTTCCTATTATTTAGTTTCATTGTTTTTTTCTATTCGGAGATTCATGTAAATGCTATTTATATATTCTTTTCAAATCAATAAAAAAATATTTTGCATTACTCTGAATTTCAATATCTTATCAAGAGTTAAATTCTCTGCCCTAGTCGTCGATTCTCCCTCTAGAGCCGCCGAACTCCCTTAATGTCATCTTCCCTGTAGGAAGGAGGGACGCTTTCTCTCCTCAATCCTCCTTGTTGTCCTCCTGGATCACTTTCCTAGTTACCCGCTTACTAGGCTTAGGGTTTAGTGTTGGGGATTTTCCGGTGGTCGCGTCCATAGCAATGGCATCGGCTGCTTCTACTAGGCCAAACTTGTCGGCAGTAGAGGCAGGCTTCACAAAGCTGGAGCGGCAAAGGGAGCTGATCTCCAATTGCACTGCTCTCTGGAAGGAGCTCTCCGAACATTACTCTTCTTTTGAGCGAAGCCTCAAGCTCAGGTCCGAGTCAATTTTCTCTAAGCACTGCTCCCTTCTATGCCTCTGGCAATATCAAGTTCATGTCATGGATTGCCATCACGAGCGCGGCTTGAGCTAAGAGCAAGAGCTCGATTCCTTCTACCGTCACGTCGTTGAGTTTTTCGCCAGCCTTTCCTCTTTTAGAGGAGACGAGCTGCTCTCGCTTGCTTGGATCCATAAGCTACTCCATTCATTCCTCCTTTGCCAAAAGGAATTCTGTTTCATTTTCTTCAATAATCGAACGATCTCTCCCGTCCTCCATTCTTATCTATGAGTTCAAAGTTCACGTCGTCAAGGCGCTTGATGTCTACAACGCCATACATGACGGGATCAAACGGGTGAGACAGTGGCAGAAGCACAACGAGATTGTTCTCATTTTTTTAGATACGTGCAACAAACCCATTAGTGAGGGCCAGCGCTACTGCGCTAAGAAGGCTCTAGCAGGTCTCATAGTGCTTATGCTTGATAAAAAAGACGTGGTGTCCATTCTTGTGCAGCGAAATCATTCATTTGGCCACAATAGCCTGAGTTCTGGCAAAGATCACCACCATACCGGTGGCTACTTCTGGTCCTTGTCTTGGAGTGTTTTCAAATCATGGTGATTACACGACAACTGCAAGCTATAGGAAGCAGCATATATGCTCCACGTGGCAATGAGATTACGGCCACCAGTGGAGTTTGAACCCCATCTTCACCATGAACTCGATTTTTCATTTTGTCATGTGGGCTCTAGTCGCTGTCATAACTTGACAATATGGTGGGCTCAAGTCATTTTTTAATTCCCAAGAGTTTTTTTCTTGAAGGGTTTGATTTTGTGGCTACATGATGAAATAATGGAGGAATCGAAGAAGAGAGGAAGGAGGAATTCTGTTGGGTTGTTGAAGGAGATTTATCAAATTGAGAAAAGCACATGTCATTTGTTGGATTTAATTGATTCACTTCACTTCCCAATCTCAGAGGAGAAGGTGATGGAGCTATTGAAAATTTTGCAGGTATTAGGTATTGTGTTGTTGCATCGAAGGAAGGATTGGAGCCATGTGAGCTCCATCTGACAGTGGTATTCCATTGTATTTTTTTCTGCAACAGTCCCTTCTCTAGAGCCTTTTCTTGTATCAGGCCCTCCTATGGAGTTTTTCCTGCAGCAGGTCCTCCACCGGATATCTTTTTTCATCAGGCACTTCTCTGGAGTCTTTTCTGAATCAGGCCATCTGGAACTTTTTTCTGTATTAAACCCTCCTCCAAGGTTTTTTCTGCAGCAGGTCTTCCACCTGAATTCTTCCTGCATCAGGCCCTCCAACGAAATTTTTTCCCGTATCAAGCCCTTCTTCAAAGATTTTCCTGCAAAAAGTCCTCTATTGAAATTCTTCATGCAACAGACCCTCCTCAGAAGCCTTTTCTTGCAGCAAACCCAACCTCATAACTTTTCCTTTTTTTCTGCAGGCCATACCTTGTAGTTTTTCATGTTGGTTGTCCACTTTCCTGCAAACTCTCAATAACATTACCTATAAGAGTCTCTGGTCTACCTACAGACACTGTAGGAACTGCAGTGAAAGACAACCTTAGCCAACTAGAAGTTAATTTTTCATTCTAGTTGTTTATTTCCCGATAAACTCCCTTACAACATTATCTATAGGAGTCTTCTGCATAACTACAAATACTGCAGGAACTGCAGGACAACCGCAATCAACTAAAAGTCGGGTTTTCTTGCAGGTTGTCTACTTCCATGCAAACTCCCCTGCAACAATAGCTATAGGAGTCTTCTGCCTACCTATAATAAAACATGAACTACAGTCAATGATAACCACGGTACATGATGAAGACTTCAAATTCTACTTCACAGAATCTTCACAGAATCTTCCTCGCCCATTGTTTGATGTTTACAAATGAAAATTGAACATAATTTTCAACCATATATCAACTTGAGGGGGACTATTAAAAATTTAATTAAGAAAAAATATTCTATTACATGCTACGAGGATTAAATTTATTTTCTAATATAATTTTATTTCATTTCCTATTTTAAATTTATTTTCTCAGATTGCAATTATTCCTTTACTATTTTAAATTTATTTCCTTGGATTAAATTCAATTCCTTTCCTAATTTAGATTTTTCTATTTTATGTTGCTTCATTATCTCCAAAACAATAAATATAAATTGATTAGTTGTAGATATTAACAGTTATATCTTTCATTTCCTATTATTTCTTTATTTTCTTCCTATTCTATAATACATGTAAGAATTATTTATACATTCTTTACATATTAATGAGAACTTTCCCCAATACTCTAAATTTCAACAAAAACAGAAAAACAAATTACACAACAGCCCATCATTTATCAATTTATTTCCTACTTTCTTCACAAACCCACATGCAATTCTGACCAATTCTGAAACTAGTTAAAGCTTTCTCGTACAAAACACCATTAACACTTCGGATAGAAGCCAATGTAATGACTAGGAAGAAATACAAGTTTTATGATACAAGCAAAGTTAAATGACTTCAATCACGAAAATAAAAAGCAAGATTTACATACATACCACTCAATTCCTATATATTTACATATTAAACACCTATACTTCAATTTTTACATGTCTCCCTACTTATGCATGAAAATTTTCACTTTTTTTAATATTAAAACAGCGATTTTTTGGTATGTGAGATGAAAGATTTGAGGGATATAAATGTAAAAAATAAATTTTAACCGTAAGCTACGAAAATACATAAGAATTGGGTGGTATGTATGTAAATGCCCATAAAAATTTTCATTGCAATTTCTTGAAAAAAAACTCACATTTGCCACAGGCTAAACTCAGTCTAGATCAGTTAAAAACAACTCTTCATTGCAATTTCTTGAAAAAAAACTGACATTTGCCACAGGCTAAACTCACATTTACCAAAGTAACAGAAGAATGTGGCATTTCTGGGTTGAAGAACTAATTTCTCTAATGTAGCAATTTCTGGGTCTTATAATTACAAAATGGCATGAATTAAGAAAATTCATATTATTTCTCGATAAGCTTCTTCAAATCCTTTAGCCAAAGCAAGTACTCACGGCTATCTTTGTTTATCATATACTCGTGCAAGAAGTTGGTAGTCAGAGCTGAGATTCCTCTAAGCTCCAAATACTTGTAGAAGGACTTCTGAAGGTTCTCCTCCAAATCACTGCCCCAAAAAATGGACAGAATAATTTATAATTAAATCAGCAGAAATAGGGCAATTTCATGCACTAAATTTAATCTTAAAATACAAGTACAAAAAAAAAAACAGCATGCGTTTTATCCCACTAAGTGGGGTCGGTTGCATGAATCCTTTTTCTCCATTGTGTCCTAACAAGTGTCATACTTTCACTTAATTCTAATAAATTAAGATCATTTTTTGTCCTATCAAGTGTCATACTCACTTAATTCTAATAAATTAAGATCCTTTTTTATACAACATGCCAAAATCTTTTTAGGTCAATCACTACCTACTTCAACATAAGTCAAATCTAAAACATCTACTCTCCAAATAGGGTCATCATATTGTCGACGTTTAACGTGACCAAACCATCTAAGATGACTCTCTATTGTCGACGTTTAACGTGACCAAACCATCTATGGTGACTCTCTCTAATCTTGTCTGTCATTGCTGATGTTAAGATTGCTAAACTACCGATTGTGGCTAACTACCGATTGTGGCTTTTTTATGTATTTTCATTGTGCGTCTGATCCTAGATTCCTGATCCTAGATTGCATTAGTAAACCCTCGACCCTTAACGACCTTAAATTAAATTGATAAAGACTATGATTTTGCCATCATATTAACTATAGTTGATCACAATACTATTGTTAATAAAAATCTGATCCTAGATTGCATTAGTAAAGACTATGATTTTGCCATCATATCAACTATAGTTGATCACAATACTATTGTTAATAAAAAGAACAATAATAAATATGCAATTAAACAAAACAAGTAACAAAATCACTTGATGTCATGATTCAAGATGACTATGACAGAACTATCATGAGAATATAAATTTTATGCATGCCTTCGATGAGAGACATAATATAGAGATGTTTTTAGAAAAGATCAATGATTTGAATGCTTTTTAAAGAATATCATTTGTTTGGTTTTGAAAAAGTTAGGATTGTTGAAGAAACTGATCACATGCTCAAATTTATTTATGTAATGTAACAATCAAATAAGCTCAACATGGACTGGCCTGTAGACAAACTTAAAAGAACAAAATATATCCCGCGGAGAATATTGGAATAAATTAAATAATCAATTGAAGGGATATAAACAAAGTAATTACAATGCATCAACATATTATAATAGGCTTTCAGATCTTGCAATTAAATATAATTTGACTTTAGAATACTTTGTTACAACTAGTTATATGGTTAAAGGTTTTAGGAAAAAGATTAGAGTTATCTTAAACTATAATTTACCAGAAGCTCTAGGAGAGCAATTAATTATAACTCTGGAAAGTAAGGCATAGTCGTATGGAAATATTACTAATCCCAACCTATAATTAAAATTTTTAAAGATAAGTCTTTACATCCTCCTATCAAACCTACACCAGCATCAAAATCACGTTTAGTGGAATCTGACCATAAAAATAAATCTGTAGTTCATAAATATCCTTTTAAGGATGAATTTAGTAAATGTTTATGGTTATAATTGGATTCTTATATATTGTTGAGATTGCATATGCACCTACATTAGAACAGGAATATGATCCTAAACTTATTCCTCGACAAAAGCTAAAATTTGAGACTCCAATTGAGTATAAGAACGACAGCACATCTAAATCAAAATTTAAGTCTAACATTAAGTCTGAAATAACATCAAAATCAAAACATCAGAGGGAAATTAAGTCACTTGCTACATGCTAGAAATAAAATTGAACACATATCTAAACAAAAGTCAAAATTAGAGTCAAAAATATTTTTTGAGTGTAAGATTAACTATAAATTTTAACTTCATGAAACTCTTTTTGGGACCAAATGATCTCCAAATTTTACGTACTCAAGAGTCAAAATGAGTGTCTTGGCAAGAAGAATTCATTGAGCCTAAAACCACTTAATTCCTATTTCATAAGATAATTAAATACTTAAATAATGGGCTACAATCAAGGGGATGATAGCTTGATGGAGCATCCGAATATTTAGGATAAAATAATCAAAACATCACTCGCAATAAATAGACTCGCATTTTTTATATGGAGGCGATCCTAAATTTATAGTTGAGAAAGCTCTATCCAATAATCAACATTGATGACTACTATAATTATAGTCTCCTGACCATTATCGTTTGATCACAGTTGCTAGACCACAATCACATAACTACCATGGTCCAAACATCACCCAACTATTGTTACGTACTATTTTTGCTAAACCATTACACACAACTGTCAGATAAGTTAAATGCCTTTCCTCGCCAATGAATCATATATATATCATTAATGGACGTCATTGCCAACAAAGCTAAATGCCAATAAAATTAACACATACCATTAACACTAATTTCTACATTGATATATGCTATCAAGAAAAAATCCTACCAATGCCATTGACACTGACATTAATGCATGTCATCGCCAATGAGACTGTACACAACATCAATGTTAACGCCAACAAACATTAGTGCCAACAAGTACAACACACTTTGACATATCAACTCCAATGTTTGTCATCACCACTAGGGTCACAACGTTTTTTTCACCGCTAAGCATATGCTAAACTTCTTGGTCTCTAGTATCCCATCCGCTAAAAAAACAATGTAGCAAACCACTAAAGATCACTTGAAGACAAAAAATCTCAATTTTTTTTCAGTTTTCATCTGAAATGACATCCTTTATAGTTTGTGTCTAGGATATCATATCAACTATCCTATGACATACACTAATAAAATTATTTAAATTTAACAACACCCGTGTTTTTTTTAAGATACTTGCAAAATATTATATGAAATTAAACCAAATAACAAGGAAATAGACCATCTAAATCCAAATGCTTCCTATGCGGACCTTTCATTAATAAAATGCAAGGTCATATAAAACCATATAATGCGTATGATAAACACTAGTAAATCAAAAATTTTAGAAAGTTACAGTAGTATTTTAAACTACAATATATTGAATTTGGCTTAAATTCATGAAGCTGTTGAATTTACTATGGGTTCCTCTCTTTTTTCATCCCCTTGTCACTTAACGTCCAATATCTAACAAGATAGATCTACTCTTCTTATCGTGGAAGCCAAATTATATGCAAAGATGTGTCAGAGAGTTTTTTGTACCTTAAGATGACAAACTTATTTGTGATGATTCATAAATTATTTTGACGCACACATAAAATCTTTATTTCATCAAAGCCAATTTTGTTCAGGCCAAACATGCAAATTTAAAATTTAAACTCATTGGATATACAAATCATGTGCATTGACATATTATAATTATTTTATTATCTATTTTAAGTTTAATTTGGTGGTTGTTAAGTTGTTTACTTGGTTTTCATCATCATGTATCTCCATTCCTGCTAGATATATTTTTCTATGATTATTTCATTGTATTGATTGTTCTCTTATTTACTTCTTTGGCCATTGATATCCAAAAACTACAACCGCCTGTCGCTGAATACTTCCTTCAATGTTTATTATTAAATTTGTTTCTTACTGGATTAGGAAAGAAATGATTCTTATTGGCAATATTTGAGGGGTTGATTTACTGGCAAGCCACCTAAAGGTTCATTTCAAGGAGCAATTGTTGAGCAACTGTAGCCAGCAAGTTGCCAAAGATTGCATAATAAGTATATCAATAAAGGGGACGAGCCCCTTGGTATTTAGTAATGGAAAACCCATGGATTGCTAGTTTGGAGCTGATTATGTTAATATAGTAACGTTCTTAATGTAATTTATGATGTAGTATCTTCTTTTCCTTCTCAATGGGACATATTTTTTTTCCTAGTTTTATCTGTTGCAAAACTCTATATGCTCTGGCAGAATAAATCTAACGGAGTGCTCCACTTTACTATCTCCAATTTCACTTCTAGTTCTTCCTTCATGGTATTAAAGCTAGGTTCTGTCTAAGCAAATGACAAACTACTACAAAAGGGTCCTAACTAGGTCTAACAAAGGAGAGAAGATCAATTCTTCCTCCACCTTTCTAAATCATGCCATCATTATGGAAGACTCCGTGGAGCACTCATTGCTTCAAATCACTTCGTACAAACTAAGGGTCCGTTTGGTTCGGCTTTTTGGCGCGGCGCTGTGTGCGACATCCGCTTCGTCCCGCAGTTTGACCGTTTGGTTCGTAGCTTCGCGGCAAAATTTCCCAACGCTTAGCGAAAGCGGGCCGTGATATTAACCCTGCGGCCCGGCTTTCGCCTGAAGATATTCCCCGCTTACCCCTTTCGTTTCTCTTCTGCCCTAATTGCTTCCCTCGCGGCTCTCCTTCATCGTCTTGCTTCGTAGGCCCTCGATCGACAGATCTGAGGTATAACAATCAATTTTCTTCTTATAATTGCAGATATGAGGGAGATGGGTTTTTTCGAATGTGATGTTTTCTCTTCTCATCTCCTTCCTATTTCTGCGATTTTTTGTTTATTCCTTCTAAAGATGTGGTGGATTTGTACATTAGCGCATGGAACCTGTTTCGTTTTTTACAGGTTGCTTCACTAGGGTTTTGCCTTTGCTTTCCCTTCTCGTTTGAGTCATTCTTGTTTGGTGGATGCTGGCTCAATAATGGAATAAGGTAGTGGTTGTAGTGGTTGATTCATGTGTAGTGGTCGTTGTTCATGCTTTTTCTTTCCCTTCTCGGTGGATTTGTACATTAGTTAGTGGTTGATTCATCACCGATGTTTTGCTCTGAGACACATTTGTGGAAGTTATGAAAGACACTGAGACACATTTATTTGCAATTGGTGTTAGGTTAACATGGATAGTGCATGAACAACAAACAAATCCTTTCTAGAGCATAAAAAATTTTAGGAATTGTTTCAAAGTTAAACATTGGCCCTGTATTTTACTGGTTACAAGAATGGAATGTATATTTTTTTAGCTATGAAATATAAGAGTAATATCAAATCATCTAGGAGGTTCTTACATCAAATCAAGCTTAAATCAAGCTCAAGATCAACCTGAAATTCCAAATGTAGCATCTAGCCTTTATTTTTAGCCAA